TATATAGGAGGTGGGACTCCTATATGTAAAGGGACCTGATATTGAATCAATAAGAATGAAGGAATTTCTCTCCAAGTTTACTCGGTTTTTCAGACTAAACATTTTATGAACACAAATTTACAAGTACGAAAAACAATGGTTTACAACAGTTTTTACAAAAAAAACGATGTGTTGTTCTCATGAATTTAGATAATTATTACAAATTGCTCGTATAAATGATGTCTAGATGAATATTTCTAGCATGATTATATAAAATACCAACGAAATGTGAAGATGAGAAGGATTTCAAGTGGTATTCCTTTCCAGTTGATTTATATAAACCACAAAGCCATAAAAAAGACTGGGCTAAGTCTTCTAAGCTACAATCATTAGATATGTTACTCTCCCTCCTAAAAACACTACATTTATACTTGAATTTAATTCTGCTCTACAATAAGGTATCATTTCATTTGTAAATTGATAATTTCTTTATTGTTAATTGGCAAGTCCGATGGCACATACTAATCTTCACTTTAGGAAACTCCACTAAATATTACGTACGTACAAGTTGAGAATTTTTATTAATGAGAATGTTATTTTTTTGCAATAAACGGATTCCTATATTATACGTAATTGACACATGAACTAGTTTAGGCATGATAGAACAATTACTAACTCTATTATGTGATGCCTTGATTTATTTACATCTAAATTTGTGTGTGTGATAGCGTTTTAAACCAACACTTAATTCTCCATTGTAAGTGGTTTGAATTTCATAAACAAATTTCCAACTTCCAACATGAAATACAACATGTGCAAACTGATAATCTAAACATGGCGACGAACGAAACGTGTCACAAGACCAATGGCATAACATTAAAATTTTAAATTAAAAAAAAATAAAAAACTTATATAGAATTCTAAAACAAAACAACGGAGGGGAAGAGCATGCAAATGAATAATATGATTTCAATGCTCAAACTAGCTTGCCCGGCATAAATTTAAAGGGAATATAAAAATTATTTAAGCAGTATAGAATTACTTTTGATTCCCCCGTGTCTGAATTAAAGAAGGGAAGCATTAAAATCATCCTTAGAGATCTTTCACAGTTCAACCATTGATTTTCAGTCCATTCATATGTTGTGTGGAGCCAGGTCCACCTCTATTTGGCAGTTTTCTCTTATAACAGTTAATTAATGTTGATAAAGCTCTCTTATGACAATTAGTAGATAATTGTATTTGTCTTTATTTTTTTTCCTGTAAAGCTTTTGCCGCCTTTCCTCTTGTACGACCCCGCCTCCTTGCTGCAGAACAGCAAAGCCAGTTGCCTTTATGAATAAGGAAGTAACTACTTCATGGTTAATGTGAATGGATCCAAGCTTGGAATATGCAAAGAATTGTTGCTTCCTTGTTAGGCCGAGAGAAGGGAGATTAAAAAGGGGGCTTTGGCGTTCTTGCTAGGAGAGTAGAAGAGATACGGGAATTGCAATGTCCTGTTCGTGAGGTTTTTTACATTGCTTCTGCTCGGTGCTTTGCATTTTTCTTCTTCTGCTGATCTTGGGAGGCTCTCGAGTAGAGAGGGTGAAGGAGAAGAGAGAGAGAGAAGAGAGAGAGAGAAAAGAGTTTCTTGTAATCGTCAAGGTGATCGACGGGTGCATTCCTCGAAGTAATAAAATTCTCTGCAACTCCGTAGACGCAGGCAATTTGTCGAACCACGTAAATTTGTGTACTTCCGTTATGGTTTCTGTTTTGCGATTTTTCTAGATCCAATTTTTTTTATTATCGTTGCTTTTTCATAACAACTGATATCAGAGCATTGGTTTGAGGAAAAAAAAACGATGGGCGGAGACGAAATAATGGCATCGTAGATCGAGAAGTTCAACGACGCAGATTTTGGTTATTAAATGATGCAGATAGAGGACTGTTTCTATGGGAAGAAACTTCATCTTCCGTTACTGGGAAAAAAACTAAAAAAGATGGACAAGGCGGAATGGAATATGTCGGATCGACAGGTTCTGGGGGTTATACGATTAACCTTGTCAAGATCCGTAGTCCACAACGTCATGAAGGAGATGACTACTGCAGATCTCATGACGGTTTTATCAGCTATGTATGAAAAGTCATCGACGAATAATAAAGTGCACCTAATAAAAAGATTATTCAACTTGAAGATGGCGAAAAGTGTGTTTGTTGTTCTGCACCTGTTGCCACACCTAAATTATTTCAATACTATCACATATCAATTATCGTCTGTTGAAATTGATTTTAATGATAAGATATATGCGTTGATATTGTTGGTTTCATTGTCAAATAGTTGAGAAGTCATGAGGATGTCAGTTAGCAGTTTTGCAGGTAAATTCAAACTGAAATATGATGATATTAGTGATTTGATTTTAGTTGAGGAAGTGCGCATGAAAAATTATGGCGCGACATCGGGTTCGAGTTTGGCACTGAATGTTGATTTCATAGGGAGATCACATGACAGGAACTCAAGCAAAGGAATATCAAAATCAAAGTCTGGTCAGCAGACAACCTGCTGGAATTGTGACAATGCTTACAACATAAAAAGTAACTGCAGGAATCCTAAAAAAGTGAGAATAATAGTGCAAATGTGGTAACTAAAGAAATACATGATGCACTACTGCTGGCAGTTCATAGTTCTGTTGATGACTGGATATTTGATTCAGGGACTTCCTTTCATACATCTTCCCACCGGAAGTTGATACGAAATTATGTTGCAGACGACTTTGGGAAGGTATATATGACTGATGGAAAAGCTCTAGACGTGGTGGGGATGGGAGACATTGATATTGCACTTCCTAACAAGAACAGATGAACTTTGCAAATGGTCAGGCACGTTCATGAGTTGAAGAAAAATTTTATCTCTGTTGAGCAGCTCAATGTGGGTGATCATTCAGTAGTATTCTCAGATAGCACTTGGAATATTACCAAATGAGCATTAGTATTGGCTCAAGGTAAGAAAACTGACACTATATATGACTACAGGTTTACTCAGGCGTGGACACAAGAGTCAGAGGTGCATTATAGAGAAGCAGAAGAATGTTAGTTTCTTGAAAGGTGGCAGAGCGCCAAGGGCAGAAAAACTGGATCTTGTACATACAGATGTGTGGGGACCTTCTCCAGTGGCATCTCTTGGAGGCTCTAGTTAATGTAGAAAGGTAATGTTTGTTGATCTACTAGAGGCCACAGTGCAGGGCAGTGATGGAAGTGAAGAGGAGAGTGGGTCCGGGGCACTCACTCATAATGTTCCAGACATATGATGGAGAACCACAAAGCTGTGAGAAAACCTTACAGGATGAAAGTTCGAGCAAGTGGGAGTTGGCCAGGAAAAAGGAGAAGCTGAAGTTGTGCTCAACTTCAGTTAGTCTTCTGACATGAAAAATAGAGTTTTGAGTTGCAGGGGTTGAGGAAAGTAGAGGAAAGTGTAAAATAACACAATTGAGAAAAAGGATGATACAGTCACTGGATGATACAATCGATGTCCCAATCTCCACATGAGAGATTTGTTGTGTAGAGTCAGGTCCACTACTATTTGGCAGTTTTCTCTTATGACATTTAATTAATGTTGATAATGCTCTCTTATGGAAATTAGTAGATTATTGTATTTGGCTTTATTTCTTTCCTGTAAAGCCTTTGCCGCCTTTCCTCCTGTACGACCCCACCTCCTTGCTGCAGAACAGAAAAGGCAGTTGCCTTTATGAATAAGGAAGTAATTAATTCACGATTAATGTGAATGGATCCAAGCTTCTTTTGGAATTTGCAAAGAATTGGTGCTTCCTTGTTAGACTGAGAGAAGGAAGATTAAAAAGGAGGCTTTAGCGTTCTTTCTAGGAGAGTAGAAGAGATACGTGAATCGCAAGGTCCAGTTCGTGAGGTTTTTTCCGTTGCTTATGCTAGGTGATTTGGCTTACGGAAGATTAAGCTCCTAATCTCCTTCTTCGGTTCGGATTACGGGAACAAAGAAACGCAAGTTGTTGCTGCTCCCTCTTTGCGTTTTTCTTCTTCTGCTCTTCTTGGGAGGCTCTCGGGTAGAGAGCTAGAGGGTGAAGGAGAAGAGAGAGTGAGAGAAGAGTTTCTTGTAATCGTTGAGGTGATCGACGGGTGTGTTCCTCGAACTAATAAAATACTCTACAATTCTGTGGACGTAGTCAATTTGTCGAACGACGTAAATCTGTGTATTTCTGCTGTGGTTTTTTGTTTTGTAATTTTTTCTCAATCTGATTTTTTGCTCCATCACCGTCGTTTTTCACAACATCATAATAGTAGCTCACATGATAAAAAGTGATGTTGATTACAACTTCATGTTTTTGTTTTGAACTGCAAGAGTCTGTCAAGTAATAGATTTAACTTGGATTTAACCAAAATTCTTGCCAGACAAATAAAAATAGAACTTTTAAATTTTGAATTTAATAAATTCAGTTTGTTCTCTCAATTTCTTCTTAGTTTTGCCTTAAATCCCAAACTTCTTAAACCCTACCAACACCAGGCTTTACTAACTTCATTGCCAAACAGCCCTTGAAGCAAAATTATATTAAAATTAAGGGGGATTTCATAAATGTTTTGAGTGTTATATATATAAATCCTGCTAAAATCAAACCATAGACTTAACATCATCAAAACCAAACCATATGAAAGAATTTCTCCCCCAACGAAAAACCTTTCCATAAAGAAGTTCATATGCACAAAAAGCAGCTTAAAATGCAGAAACAATTTTCCAAAACTCAATAAGCACAAATGAATTCTTACTGCTTAAGTCAAGGGATCTAATCCATCCTAAATTTCAAAAAAAAAAATCCCTCGATTTAAGTGCATGCACATTGTTACAATCCAGTAGCTCATTTTAAAACAAAAACACAACTATAAATTTGTAAATATCCACGATAATTCAAAATTGCAAAGAAATGAAATTAGGTAAAGTTGGGGACCCTTTCAAAAGAGTTCAATGTACAGCGTACTAAACAACAGGAGCTCTCTTCAAGAACATGTAGAGATTAAAGCACCTGAGTCGCGAAGCGAACTGAAGCTTCTGCTCGAAATCATTGCTCCAGTCGCCATGAACAAGAGAAATCCTAGACTTGAACACTACAGCTCTCACAGCTTGAAAAGCATGACCATAGCGCCGAGCTTTCCGCCGCAAGGGAAAAGTGACGGAGGAAGGTACACGGAGCTGCTTCTCCAGCACTGATGGACTATCTGGCTTCCAAAAGCGGGAAAATCTCGGATTCTGGTCGGCACTGTAAATCTTCATTGGTACAATCAATAAGAGGCCGCCTTTCTGACAAGTGTCCGGCATCTTCTTCAAGCTTTGAAGGTAAGAGCATCTACACCGTTGAGGGATTAAATGCGCTTTCAACCGTCTGATTTGCAGATGGTTTTAACACTAGTGGTTCACAAATAATCCGCACAGCATAATAAGTGATAAAAATTTTATGTCCAAACTCCGAACGTAGATTAACATGCGAATATTAATAATATGTCGTCACGTGTGTTACATCGCAGAGGTTATTGAAGTAAAATCATGGAGATTGATTCGAGTTTATTTCTGGGTTATTAAACAAAAACTCCTATATTATACTGCAATAACTCTGAAATAACATCTGCGATTCAACGTTAATAACCCAAAAATAACACGTCACATGTTTTTTTGGAGTTTTAAAAAAAACACATTTATTTTACTTCAAAAACTCAAAAATAACACTACGGAAGTTATTTCAGGGTTATTTATGAGAAATCATAAATAACATCATTAAGATTATTTCGGGTTTATTTTTTTGTTATTGCAAAGGTTATTAGAGTCTGCAGTTCTAGTCCAATAAACTCTGTGATTCCAGTTAAATAATTTTTTAGGTGGACCCGATATAACACAAATTACGGTATATTACTAGAGGTCGGGATGGAAAAGTTTTCCCAATACGTGACTTGTGAACTTAGCTTGATGACCTAAGAAGTTCTGCTCAAATTAATCTTGACTCAACTTATTAGCTCGCGAGTTAGCTCGTTAAAAAAATAAGTAACATAAATTATATTTAAAGTGAAATAAAATTTATTTTTTATCTTCAAGAGTTTTTTAAAAAATTATATTTTACATTTTACATGGAATGATTTTGTACAATTTGTTTCCAATTTGCATATTATATTTGTTACTTTGCTATAACACTAGTTTGAATTAATATCATTTTCTCTCTTTTATATTGAGTCAGGTTGAATTTGTAGAATAAAGCTAAAACACGAGCTTAAACTCAATTAATTAATCAAGTCAAACTCAAGCTCAAACTTAAAGTGGCTTGAGCTTGACTCGATTTGAAGTCTTACTTAAAACAAGAAAACCTTATATGTATGCCACACAAGTCCTACCTATTCACATCTCTAACATCTATACTTTTATATTACCCCTTTAAAACTTATATTTAATATCATAATAAAAATATCACTATTATTATTTTTTTAAAATGAATTACATTCTTACATCTCTAATATATAAACTTTCATATTAACCCATTTAAAATTTATATTTAATATCACAAAAAAATATCACCATCATTATTTTTTAAAAATGAATTACACTCTTACAAGTATAGATTTATGGCATTAAAGTTTTATAAATATAAATATGAAAATTTTGATATTAAATATGTAAATACATAACAATTGGGCGGTATTTATGTAAATTTCTAATATATTTTTTAAGAATTTCATTTCAGATAATTTTAATTTTAACCATGAATTGCTTATTTATATTACATATCAATTAATAATGTTTTGAATAAATTTTAAATCATTAGCATTTAAACTATATAAATGTATGATTTAGATTCATATATGATTCAAACATGGATCAAATATGGTTCAAACATATTTCGAGCATAGCTCGAGTATGAATCTATATGATTTCGAGCATTATTCACATGTGTTTCGAACATGAATCAAATATGATTTAAATATAATTCAAATAATATTTGATAAAGGATTAAAATATAACATTAAAATAATTCCAACATAGGTCCAACATAGAATATTATAAGAGTTTTAACACGATATTACATTAAAATATTGAAGTACTGTCAAACTCGATATTGCACTGAGAGTCATACAAAACGATGATATATAGTGTTTATAAACGCGTAAAATTGATACATATTACATGACTGTTATAGACAATGTACACAGCACCACAAAGACTCAAGCCAAAAACAGGAGAAAATAATCCTTCCGGAAGCTGGACATCCAGACGGCCAACCACCGGGCGCACGTCGCCATACACCTCATCAGCTGTCAACGTGGCGATCGGTGGTTCCAGAAACAGAAACCGGGAAGCATCCAAAAGCCCCGAATTCTTATTATTTTATGTCACAGGAAACAAAGAGTGAAGAGAGATCAAGCCCTTCTTTTGAATGGGATTGCTCTGATAACAATCTGGTGATATATTGCAGCAAGAGCAGCTCCTATGAAAGGTCCAACCCAAAATATCCACTGAAACATAAATTTAACAAAAATAAGAATCTCATTGCTACTGAAAATCAGCCAAACAATTTAATATATATTTATTTACATTTATAAAGCCTAAAGCATGATGTTTACATTTATAATGCCTTGATAAACATATACAAGAAAATATATATTTCACTTTTAAGAAGATATTGATTATGATATCTTTTATATGATGCTAAATATTTGAGAGGTATTTATGTAAATATCATTGTTTAGATGTATTTACTCATGCAAATACCAATGTAAATACATAAGAATAAGAATTGTGTGGTATGAATGTAAATTTCCCTATATATTATCAACAGACATATCATTACATATATATAGGAAAATTTACATGCATAAACTCAATTCCTATGTATTTACAAACCTATGTCTTAAACTTTGATTTTTGCACATTTGCTAACTTATCCATCCATAAAAAAAGTATATTTCACTTCTTAAAAGTTAAAATGGTGGTTTTTTTTATATGATATGAAAGATTTGGGCATTATAAGTGTAAAAAGTAAGTGTTAGATAAGTAAATATATATAAGAATGATATGATACGTATGTAAATGCAACATATATATTATGGGTAATTGTGATGAAAACTGACTTGATCATCCCAAGCATGGGATCTGTTGTAGATAATGGCTGCTCCAAGACTTCTGGCAGGGTTGATGCCAGTTCCAGTGATGGGAATGGTGGCCAAGTGAACTAGAAACACAGCAAAGCCAATTGGAAGTGGTGCTAAAATCTGCAACAAAAAAAATATATATATACTAATCATAATACTCAGAGCAAAGTAGATCAATATAACCAAACAATTAAATGTTTTATTGTGAGTATAATATATATGTTAGTATCAGTATCAGTTATTGATCTGAAAAGACGTCGGTAACAGTTATAATTATGAAAAAGACATTATTGGATCCTGGATTATCTTTCATGGACATGTCTTGAGAGTTGGAGCAGAGCGAGGGAGAAAAAAGAGAGTAGTGGGTCAAGAATTTACTGCCGAGAGAACCGAGAGGAGGGGGAGGGGCAGTCCTCTTTACTCATATTTTTGTCTCATATTTATAGGAGTGTATTTTGTACAATTACGGGAAGGAGGAAACGGTTATGAAAATTATTTTTAATATGATCTATGCTCTAGTTAATTATATAGATTTTACATCATATTTGTATTACAATTACAAAAAGGATGGAAACTGTTCATCTTGCACTCCACTCTTCCTCCGCCTCTCGCTTCTTCCCTGCGCTCTATCCCTCGAGACGTGTTCCAAAGAACAAATCATAATTCAACAACATACTTACAGGGACATGAGAGTCTCTAGCGCTCCTTTTTGCATCGGTGGCCGAGAAGACTGTGTAGACTAGAACAAAGGTGCCGACGATCTCGGCGCCGAGGCCATCGCCCTTAGTGTAGCCCGGGCTCACGGAATTTGTTCCACCATTGTTGGCCATGTAGAGGCTCTTTTTGAAGCCTTTAACGACGCCGGCGCCACAGATAGCACCGAGGCACTGCATCACCATGTAAAAGAGGGCCCTGGTGAGGGAGAGCTTCCTGGCTAGAAAAAGCCCAAAGGTTACTGCAGGGTTTATGTGCCCACCTGCCAACAAAAAGCAATATGATAGAATTTCAGGAAAAAGTAGCAATGCCACACAATTCTTATATACTTAACCATGCATGAAAATATAAATTTCACATTTTGAAAGTTAGAATGATTAAAATATTTGGGTGCTATAAATGTAAAACGTAGAAGTTGTGTGCTAGACATGCAAATACGTAGGAATTGGGTCGTTTGTATGCAAATGCCCCTTAAAAATTCAATGATACTCATTTGTTGATACCTGTGAAGTTTTATTCATATAAATAAATAAATGAAGATGCTAGTTAATATTACTAATATGTTTCTAAAGGTTGTAATAAAATGGTAATAATGTTAAATTAAAATCATTTTGATGGAATTTATGAAAATTATTGAGTTATCTGGCAATTCTTAATTATGGTGAAATTTATGGAAATTTTTTGGTTGAAAATCCTCTAAAAGTAAATTTAGTAAATCTTGCGAGGATTAAAACATAGAAGTTATTCGACATGTGAAGTTTTAGGCCTTGCTAACGGTTATGAGAGGACGAGTCCTAAACTCTTGAAGGGTTGGCAAGTAATAGATTTAGGGGGTGTTGGGCAGCATAATTTTAATAGAATTTTGGCCGAATTTAACATAAATTCGAACAAATGTAAAACATAAAAAAAGCATGAAGTAAAAACCGGCGCCCCATTAAATCCAATTTTGTCTCTCTTCCTTCTTTCTTTATGTAAATCCGGATTTGTTAAATTAAACTGTTTGATAGGTTTAAATAATTCGACTTGAGAAGAAAGTCACGGTTATGAGGACTTGAAATAAAATGTCAAACATGTCTAACAATTTTAACTAAATATAATCACAACTGAACCAAACATTGTTATGAATTTCACAGTATATGGATTTGATAAATCCAACCTATTCAACGTAACATCTGAGTGCAGCAAAACACTCCATTAAATTGGAGAAATATTTTGTCCGGACACCGCACGTCCATACGGCCAACCACCAGAGCGACTCCGTGTCCGGTGGTTGGCCGTCCGAACGTGCAGACATCCAAACGGAATGTTTTTTCCTTAAGTTGGATTTATCTTAAATCTCATTGTTTTAAATCCTGGACATAGTAAATCCATTTTATTCTCAATTTCTTTTCATCTTTGCCTTAAATCCTGAATTCACTAAATCTTGATTTTAACAGAATTTAATAAATCAGGATTTACAGATTACTAAATCAGTTACCAAACAGCCTCTAAATCCTTAAAATTCCTTAAATGATGGGATTTAGCAAATCCTGTTTAAACAAATAACAGGGCTGAAATGGAATCTGCCAAAACACAGTAGAACTAATAATCCTCAAAAATTAAAGCTTTGCCTGAAATAGGATACCAAATAACTCCTGACTCAATTCCTGGGTGATTTATAGCCAGTGGTTTAACAAATCCTAAAATATGGATTAGATAAATTCTGAGCGCTGAATTTTTCTGGCATGAAGACTGTTAAATCCCTTTAATTCCGATCACCGGATCTAATAAGTTTATGAGAAGCCATGTTCCAGAGGGGAAAAAAAAAAGATTAAACTTGAATAAAAAAGATAGCTTTATGCTGATCTCAAGATAAACATGAAAACAATCTAATTTATTACATATGAAACAGCATATAACCAAGGAAAAAATTTAATTTGCTGCAACTATTATGCACTGTAACAACTGAAATTAGAAAACTCAGCGTGAAGAGGCAATTCTAAACTAACTCCAACGCTAGCAATCCGAATTAATGTAGCAATTCGCAGAAACAGAAAAAAATGGCGCAAAGAACACTGGAGATCAGAGATAAACAAGAAACGAAATCAGTACTTGGAGAAAGAACAGAGAAAGAAAAGATCTGTCTGCTCTACCTGAAATTCCTGCGGTGCAGTAAACCAAAGCGAAGATCATCCCCCCAAAAGCCCAAGCAATACCCTGAATTCCCACTGTGCTGCACTTGCTCTTAGAACTAACCACTCCCATCACCGTAAGGATGGTTATATAAAGGAAGAGGAAAGTAGCCACGAACTCAGCGATTCCTGCTCTGTAAAAAGACCATGATTTCAGCTCTCCGGGCTCAAAAAGCGGCGCCGGTGGCGGCTCTTTGTAGTCTTTCTCCTGCAACTGCGCCGCCGTTCCTATAGGTTGTCTCTCCGGAAACTTATTGGCTCCCAAAGCAACATCTTCCTCTTTAGCCTGCATCTTCTCCTCTTCGTCTTACTCCTTACAGCGCGCTCAGCAAGCTTTTGGGGACTAAGGGAAGTACTGTAACCCACTAATGGGGAAAAGAAGCTAGCTTTGTGAGTGGGGAAGGAGTCGAGATGGCCTGAGGTTCTTTATAGAGGAGTGTGCGGGATTTGAATACGTTCTTGCTATTCCTTCGGGTTGAAATAAGTGTGATATTTCGCAATCATGACGTTTTTTATTTGTCTATTTACATACTTATTAAATGCTGCTGCTGTTCAATAAAAACAATATTACTATTTCAAATGATTGATTAAACAAGTGAGTTGTTTTATTTTTAAAAATTTAAGGGCGTTTAAATACCTACCACACAATTCATGTGTATTTGTTAACATTTACATTCATAACAATTCAATTTTTAATATCGCATAATAAATTTCACTTTAATATATTTTTTAAAATTTTAATGCATCTTCTTTATTCATAGATTTAAAAACATAAGTGTTAGGAATATAAATATCAAATTTTAGGTGTTAGATAATATTGAATCTTGATTTGTCTGCGAATCACACCAAATGAATGAAATGTAAGATAAGAAAGAGAGAGACAAAGATTGAGAAGAAAGTGTATGGTAATGGACAATAACCTTGTTTTTTTAATCAAACCTCGTTGAATAAACGATCCCCATATTTATAGAAGATAATAGTATAATATATGAGAATACATTTTTTGTCTTGCTTTAATTGGGGTGCTATAAGATGTTTTGGGTATTCTACACATATAACTCTTTTTGGTCATTGTCTGACTCGGTCAGCTGAACTTAGTTGGCCTTGGTTCGACAACATCTGCCCATCCAAATGTTTTGAATTAGGGTTATTGGTCAATATTTGATAGTGTTCGGGTCGGTGTGGCTTGAATTAGTCGGTTTGGTTCTATCTGTCGACTGCGCTAATTTGGTTGCTAATTATTGGTCCATGTATAAGAAATACTTGTCGGCAAAGCAAGGCTGGGTTATCGGACGAATTGTGAGTAAATTGATATGTATTTTATTCATCAACGAGGTGATCCCTTCGGCTTTGCTTGATTGTATGACAACTATTTATCATCCGTGAATGAGGGTTCTGAAGGGCATTTGTGAGATTCTTCTTATGATTAAGGTTATGACGAGAGGTAAGTTCAGTGGCACCCTGCAGCGGCCGGTGACTACAACTGGCAAGGGCTAGCGGACGGTGGCGACGTCTTCCGGGGGCGGGGGCGACGACAGGTGGCACCTTGCAGCAGGATGCGGGGCGATTGCGAGCTAGAGGCAGCAACGGGTGGTAGGTTAGGCGAATGGTTGTTTTGATGTTTTTAATTAAGATAAAAATATGTTATTTTTATTTTTACTATTTTAAAAATAGAAGTATTCTCCTACAAAATAAAATATTAAAAAAAAAAAAGTTGATAAATAAACACTATTTTAATGTTTCTCATCTTTTTTATTTTTGAAAAAAAAATTATCACAAATAACCCCTAAGTTGCACTCATAATACACCACAATCAATCGAATCTTCTCAACGAAGCACCCAACCACAAATGCACGTGCCGAAATCCTATATTCTAAACTTATTTAGAGGCCGCATAATTAATTTTGTGCTTATAAAAACGTTTGGTAAGTTGCACCGCCTATTTTTTTACTAAAACAAGGTTCCAATGATTTTCTTACACCTCACTTCTTTTATGCGATTCCGCAAGGGACCAAAAGCGCCGGGACCTACCGCGATAAAATTTACTGATCCCGTACGCCGCCCCAACGCATTCAGTCGACGCACGTGGGACCGGTACAGCTCCGAGCAGCCGCCTGTCCAGTTGTTAGTCGACACGTGGTTGGCTCAAAAAATTTTGTCCGTTTTCATTTAAAATAATGTGCTTCTAACATTAAATTATATTCGAAATATCTTGAAAAAGATACATGTATTGTGTTGTTAAAAAATAAAAAAACAAGTCAAATAAAACTATTTCATGTCACTAATAAATGTTTTATTATTATTATTTTAAATGTAACTTTAACAAATTTAGTTATTTCCTTTTTTTTTTATTATTATTATTATTATTATTGATTTCTACATCAAATACAGATCTCGAAATATCTTATTTGAGCAAGAAATATTCAAACTTCTATTAAAAGTCACCCAAAGCTCTGATTTCAACAAACTTATGGTCAAACTGACCAACTCAACGAAACGAACTCAATGATACCAAAAATTGGTCCAATTTAAGTCAAATCAAGCCCCGATAAAGACATTAAATTACTTTTTGAAGTTTTATGGATACATTTGAAATGTCAAATTAAGGTCAAATCTAGTGAGTTCATGGTTAAATAGAAAGTCTTTGTGAGAGAAATCCAACGAGCCTAATATTGCTCAAATCTGACATAAGACACTTCAATATCCCTCAAATGACTTCTGAGCAAATTAAGCTCTCAAGTCCGTTTGATTAAAGTAATTTGTATTCTTGCATTTATTGCACCAATAACTCTGTAAATATAAACCCACCACTCTCATGATGGGGAAATGAGAGCTTAAAGAAGAGCTTCAAGCTTGGAGGAGCTGAAGTCCAATAGCAACTTGTCCCCAATCATCGGCAATTGCCTCTAGCCATGGCAGACCACCAGTCGTTGACCTCTGTCGACCATATCTCACTGATTGTTGCCACCCACTTCTTGTAGCAAGTTCATTCGCACATCAACATTGTAACTCGGAAGACGTTATAACCCTTTATCGCCTATAGGATAACAAGCCTCCATAATCATCAACTTGTAATGGATTTTTTTACGATTGTTAGGCCCCGTAGTGTTGAGAAATTAGGACGAAGAAAAATAAGAATCAACACAAATTCAGAAGAACACACAGAGATTTAACAGGGTTCGGCAAAGATGCCTACGTCATCGGGAGCAGAACGACGACTTTCTTTCAATTCAGAAAAAAGTACATGATACAGAATATGAGATACGCCCTATGGTTACAAACAAGCATGTATATCCCTGTAAACATTGAAGTACAATATGTAATTACAAAATTACCCATGTGCAGTCGCGGGACGTTGGCCCCGCACCCCCAACTCACGTAACAAAACTCCCCTGACTGGACAGATTCTTCTGCTCCTCTCTGTTTCGTTCCAACATATGTTTCGTATATGATATATGAGTCATACCATAAAAAATATCCACTTTGGCGAATATTCAGCCCATTTGGAGAAATACATCATGAAATTTCTTATACACTGAAAGTGGGTTGTGTCACCATGCTTCTCTAACAACTGCAAACATTCAACAAGTTCAAGCAATGCAAGAATTTGTTGATATTAATTGGATTGGTCAACATATCAGCTTCATTTTCATCAGTATGAACAATCTACAACAATATCAATTATCTGACCTTGTGATACCTAACATCAATGTGCTTTATTCTCACATGGTGCATCTAGTTCTTAGCCAGCAAATAGCACTCTAACTGTCACAATGCAATTGAACTCCACCATGCTCAACGCTCGCTCAATCCCTTCACTAGCCCAGCAAGCCATAAGGCTTATTTTGCAGCTCCAGCTACTGTCATGTACTAGGCTTCAGTTGTAGATAATGTCACAATAGACTAAAATTATTGATTTCCAACATATAGATTCTCTACCAAGAGTAATCACATACCCAGTTTTAGATCTTCTTTCATTCAAATCACCTGTATAATCTGAATCAACGTACCCCACAACTGAAAGAACATCGCTGCTGATGAGAAGTGCACAAGAGACAAAGTCTTCATAACCCGGTCTGTTAGGAGCCCTTATATTGGTGTGTCTCTACCTATCTCTAGTTAGATTGTAATTTTGCAAATCATCTGGAATGTAATCACCAAGTGTTGGATCTGAACATTCAACTCTTTAAGTTGTTTTCAGAAGTTGTTCTAAATCCATCTGCATTGCATCTGAACTAGAATTGTTCTCTAACACTTTGTCTTGATTATGCTGCAACATAGACTAATTATCAAAAACTGCATCTCTTTGTTGACCTCACTTTTGGTTGAGGTCTAGAAACTTCTTTAGTAGTCTAGGTCTAGCCATAGGACTTTCCTATTGACTAGTCTTAGAAAATTAGAAAAGGTACCCCCACCATTAAAAATTCAAAACTCTTCTTTTTACTCAACTTGAAATTCCACATAATGATCTTAACCTCTAGCATTTAGTAGATAAGATCATTATAAGAGAATTCAAGAAGAATCCCTATAGGATTACTTGGCTTTAGGATTAACCCTGGGTGTTGACTTGGAGCTAGGGTACACCATATCTTCACAATA